CCTGCCACCAGAGGGTCCTGGACAGGCCGTGTGAGAGCCTAGAGCCAGCCCCACTGAGGGGCCCGAACGTGTGCACCATTTATCTGTTGGACACTGCTCAGAGTCAAATCCACTTGAATGGAATGACTGGAATTTAACTTGAAATGCCAGCAGGATACGTCTGTTTGTAGAAGGGAGCTTTCTCTTCCTGTTGGCAGCCCTTGGGTGATTGATGGGCCAGGGGTCACGGGAAGGCTCTGCGAGATGACAGTGTGGTCACAGCCCGGGACCCACCAAGACCCAAGTCCGAACTCTGGGCTTTCATTTCCCACGTCCTGCTCCATGGCGGCCGGCGTCCTCCTCGGGCACAGTGTTCAGATCTGGGACAGTCCAGTCTGGTGGGCGCTGACCCCGTCCGTGATGGAGCCTGCAGAGGACAGGCTAATCTCCATAGTCAGGTGCGGGAGGGGGCCACCCCCGCTGCCCACCACCGTGTCTGTGACTCATCAGCACTTGATCACCCAGTGGCAGCCTTGTGGCTTCATCATGTGCTATCATCCTGTTTCTAACTCCTGGTTTTTATGACATTTTCGGATCATTATAGATTCATATGTAGTTGTAAAAAAGATAGAAGAATCCAGAGCTTCCCAGTGGTGGCAGATGTGTGTCGTAGAGTCGGAACCGACCCGTAGCTGACCCTCCGACGGGTTTTCTCAGGCAGTTAATCACGCAGGAGGCGAGTGCCCAGCCTTCTCCCATGGCCTCGAACAGCCTGCCTTCGGGATTGCAGCACAGCTTCTTGCCACTAGACCACCAGAGCTCCAGTGGGAGCGCTCTTAAAAACTCCCCCCCCCTTGTTTAAATACACTTTATTTGTCAGAGCCATTTAGGTTTACAAAAAGGTTGCACAGAAAGTACGGAGCTACCATATGCACCCACTACCTGTTGCTACACAGTTTTGTGTGATGGTGACGGTTTGTTCCCCAAAATAGTTTTTTAAGTGAAGTTTAACAAATTACATTAGTTTTTCATACAATCACTCATACTATTAGTATCCTTTTTTTTAAATTTTATTTTATAATTTTAATAAACATTTACAGAGATTTTGGATTTCCATCTTAAAAACTTTTATACAGCCCGCCGCCCGCCGTCGCCCGGTGTCCAAACAAGATGGAGGGCGCTGCCTTGGCGCCGCACGGCTGACCAGAGCCCCGGAGCCCCCGCCCCAGACTCCCAAGGACAATATCAGAGTCAGTGTAACTACCCAGATGGATGATGGGCAAGTATCTAAAGAACAGGTTGTTCTTAACCTATGAGAATGGGCAGGTATATGTAAATGACTTTCCTGTAAACAATGGTGTAACCAGAATAAGCTGTCAGACTTTAATCGTGAAGAATGAAAATCTGGAAAATGAGGAAAAAGAATATTTTGGAATTGTCAGTGTAAGGATTTTAGTTCATGAGTGGCCTATGACATCTGGTTCCAGTTTGCAGCTAATTGTCATTCAAGAAGAGGTAGTAGAGATTGATGGAAAACAAACTCAACAAAAAGATGTTACTGAAATTGACTTTTTAGTTAAGAACAAGGGAGTCCTCAGACATTCAAACTACACGCTTCCTTTGGAAGAAAGCATGCTGTACTCCATTTCCCGGGACAGTGACACTTTATTTACCCTCCCTAACCTCTCCAGAAAAGAAAATGTGGGTGCACTGCAGACCACCAGTCAGTATCTCATAAGGAATGTGGAAACCACCATCGAAGAGGATGCTTTACCTGGCAAACTACCCGAAACTCCTCTCAGAGCAGAGCCTCCATCTTCATATAAGGTCATGTGTCAGTGGATGGAAAAGTTCAGGAAAGACCTGTGCAGGTTCTGGAACTCTCTTTTCCCAATGTCATGGTGGTTGGAATTACAGGAGCAGCTGTGGTAATAACTATCTTAAAGGCGCTTTTTCCAGTTTGTGAATACAAAGGAATTCTTCAGTTGGATAAAATCAAAGTTATACCAGTGACAGCCATCAACTTATATCCAGATGATCTTGAGAAAACAGCAAAAAGCCTCGAAGACAAAACACTTATTTAAAACACCTTCTCAAATCATGAACTCAGAATTAGTCTACTGCCTCCAAATTTGTCACTTGAATGTAATTTCCTTTAAATCATTAAGAATCAACTTAGACTAGACCAAGTGAAAAACCCCTAAGACGACTTCCTCAGATGTGACAACTAAAGTGACAGGTTCACCTTATTCTCAGACAGCGGGCTATTCAGATGGTGGACTGTTAAGGACAGTTAAAGTGAAGACAAGACATGGAGCAAGACTTTGGAATTACCAAAAAGGAAAAAGAAAAAGGCAAGGTAGAATGCCATGTGCCAATAACTTTCCAAGGTGCCTTTGTTAGGGAAATGATATCCACTTGATTACTATATGACTTAGTGAAAAGCACTTTATGAAATTCTAATTTAAACATTTAAGAACAAAAAAAAAAAAAACAAAAAAAACCTTTTATACAATGTCACAAACCAAATTCTGAGGTTGACACAGCCAATGTACAGAACGTTCCAGAAGCACAGGAGTCCTGTCGGTGTCCAGGTCCCTCCCACGTGCACAGCCCCTCATCTGCCCAGCTTCCCAGCCCCCGCTCTCTTCCTTTACCCACTCCGCGTGACCCTCTAGAACAGACGAGAACTGCACCTTGAGCAGACTGCCTCGTCTTTCTCTTTTGGAAGGACTGGTGGACTTGAACTGTCAGCCTTTCAGTTAGCAGCCCAGTGATTAACCCACTGCACCACCAGGGCTCCTTTCTAGTCTTCCCACCACTGCTATCATTGTGTCATTTCAGGGGTGTCATCCGATGGGCTCACCCTCAGATGGGCTCACCCAGTATGTGGCCTTCGAGCACTGACTTTTACACCCAGCCTCACTCCCCAGAGGCTTGCCCAGGTTTGCCAAGGGCAGTAGCTGGTTCCCTTCATGCCTGAGTGTACTCCAGGGCGTGGAGGGGACGTTCATGGTGAAGGTCGTCTGCTGTCTCCGGTTCTTGGATGCAGTGGCTAAACATCTAGTAGCCTAGTGATACAGGCCTGCTAAGTGATAGCACAGCGGTATAAGTCTACCAGCTGCTCTGTGGGGGAAAGATGGGCATCTCCTCCCATTAGGGGTGACGGCTTTGGAAACGAGGTACAGGGTCACCAGGAGGTGGGACCATCGGGGGCAGTAGGACATCTATGCACAGTTCTGTGATGTCGGTTTCGCCTCTCTGAGATCCTTGCCCAGAAGTGCTGGGCCACGTGTAATTACAGGACTAGCTTCTGGAAACACTGTTGGACCGTTTGCCGCGGTCACAGGTCTGGTTTCAGCTCCCTCCAGGGCGGTGTGAACGGTAGTGTTTCTCCCATCTTCACCAGCACTCCTTGTCACGATTTTTTGCCCTAGCTGTTTTGACAGGTGCTCAGTGCAGCTTCAGTGTGAATTTCCATCCTCTCTGTGTAAGCTGCCCTGATGGCATAGTGCCTTCCCTGTTGGGCGGCTAATCATAAAGTCAGCAGTTTGAATCCCCCGGATTCAGAGAAGAGGCAGCCTCCTCCCATCGGGTATGCAGCCTCAGAGGTCCACGGAGGCTCCATGGCGTGGCTGCACTTGACCACACGGGGTTTGGTTTGGGTGTAATGTCTTGTTACATTGTCGAGTCTCCCTCAGTAGCCCCCACCATTAACTGCTCAACTACTAACCACAAGGTTGGTGGTTTGAGCCCACCCACAGCACGTTGGGGAAAGGGCCGTGGTGATCTACTTCTGAAAAGGTTGTGGTAGAATTAGGGTCACACATCCCTGAAGAATCCTGTGGAGCTCACAAGCCTGGAAGCAGCAACAGGTATTCTTTCCCTGACTGCAGCAAAGAAGAGGGAAGAAAAGCAGACAGCCATAGGAACCTGAGACCAGAGGGTGACAGGCCACACTGCTGACCACTTGGAAGGGGATCACGATGACAGGAGAAGGTTCTGGACGGATCGCGTGAAAATGGGAGGGACAAAGCAGAAACCGCGTGGAGCACACCCGCCTGTCCATGAGGTGCCCCCGGGACTCATGGTGGCCGGACGGCATCTGGCTGGGACTCCAGTTTCATGTCTTATGGTGATGGATGTCTTTGTGTGGACTTCCTAGTCTTCTGTCCATCCTCGTCATAAAGTCATTCTACCTTCCCCTCCTCCCTTTCTGATTGGTTCATTAGTGTTCTCCACTCCTCCATTCTGAAGAGTCTTATTCAGTGAAGCCAGCACTCAGCGGGACCACCTTGTTCCTCCGGGTCTCCCAAGTTTCTACCTTTGACAAGGTGGGGTGCAGTCTCTTTACTTCCTGTTGCTTCCTGTTCGGGGACACATTTGCATTTTCCTTCTCTGATAGGTTTCTGTCCACTTGCACAGGCTTCACCCTGGTACCTGATGTTTGTAGAGTGAGTGACATGGGCCCTGGGCCTCGGAGACAGAATCCCAAGCCCACGGCCAGCAGCCACGCTCTGTGCTGTGGCCGTGGCAGTGTCAGCTGGGCGCTGAGCTTCCTAATGTGGTGGGCCTTGTTCTTCCTTCATCTTCATGGCGAGGCTGAGAGCAGATGGCAGGCTCTTGGTACCCTTTAAAGGCCAAACCCACACATTGCTGTGGTTGGGGCTCTCCTGACACCCTGGAGGGTGAGCCCTCACCTTGTGACACCCCTAGATGGTGAGCCCACACAGTGCTGTGGTTAAGTTTGAGGGAGAGCCCACACGATTCAAGCTGCAGGGGCAGACTTTCTGCTGACACCCCCTGGAGGGTGAGCCCACTCGGTGCTGTGGTTCAGGCTGCCATGGGGGGGACCCCGACATTGCTGTGGGTCAGGCTGCGGGGCAGCTCTCTGCTGACACCCCTGGAGGGTGAGCCCACACATTGCTATGCTTTGAGCAGAGACAGCCTCAGTTCAGAGCACACCTTTGGGACACCTGGGCCGGGTGTCCAGCGCATTCACCCACATCTCTTTGACACAGGAAGACCACGACACCATGGAAGCAGATCTGGACAAGGACGAGCTGATCCAGCCGCAGCTTGGTGAACTCTCGGGCGAGAAGCTTCTGACCACAGAGTACCTGGGGGTGAGTTCATGCGAAGGGGCGGACGGTTCTGGAACAGAAAGGATAGATGTGCTGTGGGCGCCCTTAGCATTTCTGGCAACACGTGAGGGTTCGGTCTCCTTTGTACCAATCGGCGTTGATGAGAAGGTCCACACGAGGCCCTTTGCCTTCACTGGCCAGCAGTGCACTGTCAGGCAGCTTGTCACAGGTCCTCCGCTGGCCCCCGGAATGGGTGTGGGAAGTGGGAAGGATGTCCAAGAACAGCAGCCTGAGACCTTCCTGACCTCTGCAGGGGGCACCTCCTCGGCAGAAACTGTGGAACTGTCAGATTTGTCTTTTGTGGGTGTCCGTCTTGGTGGTGCAGTGAGTTGAGTACTGGGCCACAAGTCAAAAGGTGGGCACCTCGAACCCCCTCAGTCGCTCTGTGAGAGAAAGATGAGGTGGTCTGCTCCCATAAAGACTGACAGCCCTGGACACGCTACGGCCAGTTCTGCTCTGTCCCAAGGATCAGAGTCAGACTCAGCTCAGTGACAGCGGGTCATCAAAGGGAGGACTGGAAGACCCGGAAGTCACCAGTACATTGGTATTGGCGGAAATTTCTAGAACAGATGGCTCACCAAGCTGAGTGTGGAGCAGGAGAGTGGTCACTGAGGACAGGAGTGGAGGACGAAGAGAGGAGGGGTCCCAGGAAGAGTGAAGAGGAGCAAATCCAGGAGGTCCCTATCTCAAGACCCTTGAGTAACCCACATCTGCGAAGGGCCTTTTCCAATCAGGCCACATTCACAAGTCCTAGGTGTTAGGACGTGGACAGAGCTTTGTAGAGGCCACTGCTCAACCAGGCCACCACAGAGCCACAGTTCTCAGCTTCATTAGAAAATATGCTGGTACCCCGAGACAGTAGCCCCAGAAGCCTTTCATGTCTGCATCAGAACTCACTTCTGTGACTCACTTTACACCCAGGAAGTAGACAAGCCTCTTAAGTAAACAGCTACACCAGGAGGGACTCACTGCTTAGAGCAGTCAACCTTATGAGACCAAAAGGACATCGTAACCCAGGGATGAAGTTCAGAAGACAGGAAGGGGCAGGAAGCAGGCTGAGTGGAAACAGGAAATATAGAGAGGAAATAGGAAGAGTGTGCTACACTGAGAACTACAATCAGATCATGGAACAAAATGTGAATTGTTAAACAGAAAAGCCATTTTCTCTGTAAACTTTAACTCAAATCACAATTAAAAGTGTGAAGAGAAAGAAAAATGGCCTGTCGAGAGGGGTCATCGTTTCGAAGTCTCACTGCCCAGTCGCTGTTTTGTTCACAGTCACGTGAGGCTGCCCTGTCCTCAGACCTCGTGATTGGAACTGGCCAGCCTTGAAGTTGGCATGTCAGTCCTTCAGTCTAGCGGTGCATGCAGGCACTTAGCGTCTCTGTCTTCATAACTGCCCAAACAAAACAGGGAAGCTTCCAGAGCTGGAGGGCATGTCCCTGGGGACATCGCACCCAAATTATGATGCCAGCCCCACTTCAGGGCTCACCGGAGAGCCTGGAGCTTCTCCTCGGGGTCAATCCAAACATGTTGGGATTTTTTTTTTTTTTTTTTTTTTTGTGTGTGTGTGTGTGTGTGTGTGTGTGTGTGTGTGTACCGTCAAATCAGATCTGACTGGTATAGGAGGAGATTGTCCCTCCTTCCCCGGCAGAGCATCTGGTGGATTCGAACCGGTGTACCTCTGGGATTGCAGTGCAGCTTCTTGCCACTAGGCCACCAGAGCTCCCCTTATGTTGGGATTTTTAAACAATCTGTCAGCAAATTGTGTTCAATCATTGTCTTTCCTTTTAACTTTATATATATGTACATGTGATCCGACTCCAAGTGTACAGAGCAGATTGCTTTTCCACTCAAAAGTTCATTTCCGTGGGATTCAGTATAAATACCAATGTCTCAGGTCCTTGGACATATTTGTAAGATGTTTCCAACCCCGAATTTCTCCATTACAGCAGCTGGGAACTCGGATGGGTGGGGATGGGGGCAGAGACTCCAGGCAGCCATCGTGGGAAGCAGATCGTAAGGAGAAGGGGTGGCCAAGACCTCGAGGATGGGGTGGAAAGACGCTCCCCCTGATGCTGGACAGCTGCTCACCTGCCCACGGAGCCTTCCCCGCCTGGGCTTCTGTCCACAAGCCAGAAGGGGCCTCCTCATCAGTTAATGAGGAAACCACCACCCACCTTCAGTTACTCCCCGGCTTATGAAGTGGTAGGTACTCGTGGTAGAACTCGTGGACTTTTCAGAAGCATCAAGCACAGGGATTGCTGCCTTTGCATTTTGATGTTGTTAAAGAGTACTGACTGGTCAGAACAACAAGCCGGTGTTGGAAGAATGTTCTTTAGGAGGAGGATGGTGAAACGTCACCTCGTGGACTTCGGGCATGTTCTGAAAAGGACCAGTCCCTGGACATGGACCTCGTGCTTGATAAAGGAGAGCGTCAGTAAACAAGGGAAAGACCTTCCACAATCAGAGGGACTGGCGCAGTGACTGCAGGGCCCGCAGAGCCTGTGAGAACGGCACGGGACCGGGCAGGGTGCTGGAAGGGGAACCACCCTGAGTAGATGCCAGCTCAACAGCACTAAACAACAACAACGTTCTCTCTCCAGGAAGGGATTAGAAAGAGACAAACACCGAATAATGGTGAAGAGGAAGAATCAAGCTCGCCGAAGAGAAAAAAGGCAAAGCGTGGGCCCCTGGGTCGTTTCCAACACGTGTGTCAGAGCAGAACTGTGCTCCAGAGCGCTGGCCGTGACTGTGACCTTTCTGAAGCAGAACAACAGACCTTTCTCAGTGCACTTGAACATCAACCTTCCCCTTAGCTACCGAATGTGTGAACCTTCTGTTCCATCCAGGCAGTCATGAACAAACTCCATAAGAATTCTTCCAGTAGCTTCAGACCTAGTCTTCTTGATGCTCCACTGGCACGTGTCCTGGACAGTCCAGTGACAAAACAGAGAGGAGAAGTGCACGTGACTTCCCAGACCCGCTCTGGGGTGAGGTTAGACTGTCAAGGAGGAAGCGGGCTGGAGGGGAAAGTGTGGAGGAAGGGGAACCAGGTGAGGGGTGAGGGTAGAGTTACGTGACTGCAGTCAAAGCTTTTATTGGTGTGAGCTGTATAGGCGGTATGAGGGAGATGGAATTGCATCTTCTTTTTCATTTGGAAAGTTAAACTCTGTTCTGCTTCCTCCAGAGAAATAATAGTCTGTACCTTCCCTCTCCATACCTCTTCTGTTCCCTCCTCAGGCATCTTTGATCCTGGCCTGTCCACCCTCCCAGCTAATGACTGTCCCCAGAGGACAAAGGAGTGAAACCCTCTTCCTATAAGAAACTGGCCCTGTTTTTTCCTCTTCACCACAAACACTTACTGTTAGTTTCCCTCAGTCATATCTGATTCTCCGAGGTCTTCAGTGCAGAGTAGAACTGCTTTCCATAGAAATTTCCAGGCTGTGACCATTGTTGGAAGCATCAGCAGACTTGTCTTCTGAGCGTATCTGTTGGATTTGAGCCTGCAACCTTTGAGTTAGTCAGAGAGTGTTTATTTGTTAACATCCAAGAGATGCTTTGAAATCACATCTTTGATTTCCCAGTTTTTGCTGAAAAAAGTAGTTTAGTTTATCCAGTATCAGATAGAGAAAAAAAATTGATGTTTTCATGGACTTTGGTTTTTATGTGGCTCTCCAGTCAGTGTCCATTGAGGCAGCGTCCAGGGAATCGGGCCACATACAGGACCTCTTCAAGATGCTGAAAAGCCCGTGTGTCACTTTGATGACTAACATGCGCCTAATTCAAGCCTTGGATTTTCAGTCTCTTCATTTGCATGTGAAACTTGGGCAGTGAATAAGGAAGACTGATGAGAACGGATGCATTTGAGGTATGGTGTGGCTGAAGAATGGTAACTCTATCCTGGCCTGCCAGGACCAATCTGGTTTGGACAGAGTGCAACGAGAATGTGCCTCTTTAGAAGAGAAGATTGCGAGACTTCATCTCACGGACTCTGGGCTGGTTACCGGGGCTGGGGAGCCAGTCCCCAGGGAAGGACAGCACGCTTAGTAAAGTAGAGAATCAGGGGAGAAGAGGAAGACTCAGGAGAAGAGTTGACGTGAGCTTGCGGCAGTGGGACAGCACAGCAGAGACGGGAGGCTGACTTGGAGCTGGATGCTCTTTCTTTACGTTGTACACGGGGCGCTTTGAGTTGGAACTGACTTGGCACCGCCACGCACAATAGTATAACTCAGAAGACTCGAACTCCCTGCCTCTGCGTCGAAGCTCATCGCTGGCCCTCCACAGGGTTTTCCGAGGCTGTTACACTGGAGGGATTACCCATATTTCTCCTGCAGAGCCACTGAGGGATTGGAACTAACACCCTTGTGTTATCAGCCCCGATGGACCACACCACCAGAGTTCCCTGTTTGCAGTATTGTTATTATTGTTGTGGTGTACTGTCAAGTCAGAACTGACCCATAACTGACTCTCTAGTTGGACATTCAAAGGCAGTTAACCTCACGGGAGGAGGTTGCCCATCATACTTCTACGCAGCAGCTGGTGGATTCGAACCACGTGCCTTCAGGATTGTAGTGCAGCTTCTTGCCACTAGGCCACCAGAGCTCCCTGGTGTGTATTTATAGAGTGTGTATGTATATAGTATATATTTCTATATATACTATAAAAATGAAGTCAAAGAACCTACTTAATGCTTTACTTGGGAGCATAGTGGATAGAAGGGGAGAGAAATGTGAAACAAAACTCAAGGTCATGAGAAACGATCAGGCTTGCTGAGCTGGTAGCAGCTGGTTAGGTGCCTGTGAGTCGGCTGTGACCCCGTAGAGACGCTGACGGGAGCCTGCCGTTCTCGCGCCATCCTCGTCAACCCCACTGTTGCCGTCACTGTGTCGCTCCACCTCCTTGAGTATCTTCCTCTCTTCACTGACCCTGTGCTTTTCCAAACGTGAGTTCTTTTCCATGAACTGCTGTCTCCTTACAGT